ATTATTATTATTCTACTTGTGTGCCACAGGTCATTGGTGTGAACGTCATTTTTTGCACTGAAATCCAGCTTCCACTTAAGCGACGGCTAATCTAGTTGTACTGTTCCACCCCGAGAAGAACAGTGGTTGCTGGTGCACAGCTTATTTGGGGTTTGTTGCTTTCAGACGTGCTGTGAAGCAGAGCCTGAGCTGTGTTTGTGTCCACAGGTGTACTATACTAAGAAGAAGCGGCGGGCCCAGCAGGTCCCTCCTGAGGACAGCAGCACGAAGAAGGAGAGAAAAATCTATAACGATGGCTATGACGATGACAATTATGACTACATTGTGAAAAATGGAGAAAAGTGGCTGGACCGCTATGAGATAGACTCACTGATTGGGAAAGGCTCGTTCGGACAGGTGAGGTCTCCACAAGAAACATTCTCCACGTTTATTAATACTGCGGCGTAGATAGACGCAAAGTCCAACATGTCTGAGCTAAAGTTGACGTCTCAGGTGGCTTCTGCAGGCAGTGAGATTTGGTCGTGTCTGAAAGTAAAGTCTGTGTGAAGGATTAGTGAAAGCTGTCATGTACAGAGCTGACCCAGCGACAGCCAGAAGGTCACTGATCACAGCAAACAAACTAATTAATTAGTAATTGTAACTAATAAAAAGTAATTGTAATTAGTAGATTGTGTTACATTAAGAAATCAAAGGCAAAGCCATTCTTATTATGACACAGGCTACATGTATTGTGTACATGACAGGACAAAGTCAGACAGGAAGTGTTCGGCTGTCCTTGAACTGCGTGATTCACCACCTGTGTCCATGTGTCCACAGGTGGTGAAGGCCTACGACCACCATGAGCAGGAGTGGGTTGCCATTAAGATCATTAAGAACAAAAAGGCTTTTTTGAACCAGGCACAGATAGAACTACGCCTGCTGGAGCTCATGAACAAGCACGACACTGAGATGAAATATTACATAGGTAAGATGCACACTCTGCACACTGCTGCACAACACAGCTTCTCTTGGTTCACTACAGACACACAGGCGGACCTTTACTGCACTTATTCT